TGAGTGACTAGTTGTTTACACAGAAATTTAGTGCAATGCAGTGCAGGGCACAACAACAACGGCAACGCCTTTTCATTAAACAATTCATTAAACTTTGGCTCACATGATAGTTTATTTTGCTACGGGGTTGTTGTTGTTGTTTTTGCATATTTTAGTTATTGTTGCGGTTGGTAAACATGTATTGTAGTTATATATACCCTGCAGGGAAAAATACTTGTTGCATACAGAAGTGCAACTAGTTTGCATTATTTCACTAAAGGACTCATCTTCGTTACTTCGCTTTGTATTTGTAATAGGGTATTGTGTAAGGCAATGTGAGCAGTCTCACTTTGCTTCAGCTTCGTACTATTTTATTTATGTGCGTATAATTTCCATTTGGATATAGTGCAAATTAAAAAAAAAATTCGACTAAGCCAAAATTGGTGTATAAAAACATCTACAAGTAGCCACTGATCAATGCAAAATTATATCAGCTTCATACTAGTGAAATACTAGTTCCTGTTAACGTGCTAAATTTGCTATTCCGTTTGAAGCACTCTTCAGCCGAGATCTTTCTCCCATTTGAGGCATACGTCGTAAGGATTTTCCAACAAATACTAAGCCCCTCCGAACGGATGATGGGTTTTTATGAAAATAAATACTGTGGGAGTGTTAACATTCCCTGCCCAGGTGCAACTACAATTGGAAATACTAATTTTATATATAAAAATCTTATGTCCGTTTGGAAAAATCCAATAATCCCCAAGTATAACTGGAACTTTTACGTACTAGACAAACTTTTCACTACCGGGTAGGTACGTGCGTATTTTCTTAGTCATTTTTGCCTTCTACTTCACCACTCCTTCTCCCCCGCTTGCTATACACTTTGGTTCCTTCCTTCCTGCCTATCTGTTTACCTGTGCGCTCACTCTGCCACCTACCCACCTGCCTGCCTACCTCTGCCTGCTTTGCCTTCATCAACAGCACATTTATGCATTCATTCATTCATCCATAGCGAAAAATAGGCAACACCTCTCAACTTTATTACACGGTTTTGCTTTACTCATGCGCCAAATTCATTCATGCATTCATAGATATTCGTGTGCCGCACAACACTTTTGCATTTAAATACACATACATACATGACAGACAGTCGGCGGCTAATGACGCTCCTCCACCAACCACCTGAAATCACACCAAACTCAACCACTTGGAATGTGTTTTAGTATTTTTTCCTCACACCACAAATCGCCTCCTACCCCAACCACCAACCACCACAAGCACCAACCCATACATACATTTGTATTTGTATTTCCTTTGTGTATTTCATCAACTATTTTTTTATTATATGCACATAACTAGCCGCTTGTAGCCGCACTAAGCTGTGTTGCGCTGACTACTCGCCGCTCTGCGCTTTACGGTAAAGCCAGAGTATGTATTTACTACGTTTTTATTCAGTTGTTGGAAAACTCGCGAAACACTCAGTCTAGTCTAGTGTCTAGCATGAGCAGTTAGCAGCTAACTTGTAGGTTCAATACGAGTGGGTATAGCAGAAGCACGAGAAGAAGTAGAAGAAAAAAAAAGAATAAATCGGACGGTCGGTCAACATCCCTCAGTGTGGCAAAAGCTGCAGACCCGGTGCGGGCGTTTAAATAATAATCATACCGTCTACGGCTGTTCGGGCAGGGAGTGCGTTTGCAACATTCTGCTACTTGTGCATGTATGTGTGCGAAAAAATGTGAAAGAAATATTTAAAGGTTAAAAATAGATATATACACATAATAAAATTAAAAAAGTATAAAAAAAGCACAAAAAAAATTTATAAAAAAAAAAATTAAAATAAAAGGACTTAATAAAATATAAACGTAAAAAATTAAAAAATAAATATATGAAAAAAAAATATTAAATAAATCAAAAACTCAAAAAAAAAACATTTATTTTTTTTTATTTTTTTTTTACGCGCAAAAGCAGTATGTGAGAGGAACAGAAAATATTTTAAAACAAAAGTCTACGATTTTGATTTCCCTACGTCGCATACAATACATACATACCTAAATACATGAGTATTCAAAAAAATATTACCAAAATATCGCCAGTCTTTTCCAGTGCGCCAGCATAAAAGTGCGTTTGTTTTACTGAAGTTGCTTAGGCACAAGCAAGTGTATGAATGTTAACATAAGTGAAATGTGGTATACGAAGTGCTGTTGTTGTTGTTATTGCCGTTGCAAGATTGTTGCAAAAATATTATTATGTACAAATTCATAAGTGAGCGCCATCGCAGCGCCTGTGCCAGAGTTCGCCCGCGGCAGCGGTTTCGTGGCAGGCGGTTGTGGGCCATTAAGGCCGACTGTGCGAAGAATGCGAGGTTGAATTGTTGGCCGGCCGGCCGACTGACCGCACCGCGACAGGCTGCATTCAAACGGTGCATATGGCGGCGCTTGAGTGGGCATTTATGTATTTATTTTAATTATTTTTTGTTTTGTTTTATATAAATCTTGGACTTTAGTAAGTTTTTATTTATTTTTCTTCAAATTTGTTGTTGCATTATTATTGATAGATTGCATATTGGCGATTTCCGACGTGACCTGCGTTATGCAAAATGTTTGAGGAAAAGTAAAAATACCAAAAAACAAACAAAAAAAAACACAAAAAAAAATGTTACGAAAAATTATGAAAGAAAAATAAAACATATGTACAAGTGTGTATATTCATATTTAGCAATATGTATGTATATATCTGTATTTATGTGTTTATCGTGCAAAAATTAAAACAAAATTATGAAAGTGAACTGATTTGAAAATATTAAAAAGAGAGCTGAAAAAATATTAAAAGCGCAAAAAGTTAAAAATTAAAAAAAATAAACAGAAAAAAAACAAATGAAAATCAAAATAAAAGTATAAAATACAAAACAAAATTTAGAAAATAAAAAAAATAATAAACTAGAGATTATGCAATAATGAAATAGAAAAATAAAATATACATATAAAGGTATATAACTGCAAGTGTAGCGAAGAAAGTGCGCTAATATCATAGCATAACATGGCATGAAAAAGTAACAAAATAAAGTTGGCAAAGAAAATTTTGCACATTTAATAGCAGAAAGCTCAAACAGAGCAACGGTGAAATTTATAAAAAATATTAAAAATTTTGCACCAGACATTTAATGGAAATTATTTTTTTTTGTTTATTTTCTACTTTGTTATCTTAAATTTACTTTATCTGCACTTGAAAAAAACTCCACCCGAAAAAGAGTTTCATTAAGATATTGTATCATTTTGCTATCATTTAGATTATGATTCAAATACTAGTGGAACATAAAATCTATTGTGAATAGATCTTTTCGCAGAATCCCATTCCGTTCATACGATTGACGTATCACGTATTTTTCTTTCGTACAATTACCGATACGTTCACGACAATGACGATTATCAAGTTCTATTCAGTTTTTTTGGATGGGTAATAAAGGGGTCGGGAAGATAATAGAACTTTATAAACTCGAGTATTGAGTAGTGGGAGCAACTCTTCAACTTTATTTTTCAATTTTTTTTTTGTTAAAATATCTTTAACATTTCGATGAAATTTACACTTTGTATAAAAAGGTTTAAATTATAGAAAAAAATTGTCGAATTACCGTTCGAAACGCCCAAAAAAGGTCAAATAGCTAGAACTGGTGCTCGTACTAGCTCAAATACTCGAGCTGCTGGAAAATATTCGAACAATATCTTTAGCCCCAGTAGCTGAACTTCGCTAGTTACCATAAGCTATTTTTTCAATCACATTTATCATCACGTACAAAACATTTGATGTTCTCAGTGGAACTACATATTTATATTCGTTATGTTTTTTGGAAACAGGAAGGGTTGTCTCTGTTAGTTTGCAGCTGCGACAAATGTTGTTGAAAGGCAATACAATTTATATTTTGCGAGCTCTCCAATTGTTCAATGTCCCTTAGTCATGGCTCTAAATATATATATACATTTCCTTGACCTAATTAATAAGTCCCATAGGCCCGATCTGCTCCGTTATCTCATCTGCTCTGAGCTATTTGTTCGATCGACATATATAAAGGTCTCTCTTGTTCATTCCTACCGTGAATGGTGTCGACCACGCCTCCAATTGGTTAAAAAATAGCTGCCGCCTTGGTCAACTCGTTCGTTCTTTCAAAACGGAAAATGCCAAATCAAATTGTCGGCGAGCTCAAAGTCTTAGTGGACGAGTAATGTGAGAGAGAGAGTGTGAAAGTGTTGTCAAAATCTTTGGGGAAAACTCTTGTTCCCACTCCTTACTCTATTTTGGAGCCGTTGGCATATATTAAGATGTTATTCTCCTCTTTTACTTGACCCTTTCTCCATACGCGTCATGTAGATGCAACTAATATTATAAGCTGGCTAAGCTCCTTCTCTCCACTAATTGCCAATATTTAATCTATGCTGACTACTTGGCTATAAATCATGGCGAAGGGGTGCGAGCATTCAGATATACTTTAGCAATTTGGAGATTCTTCGATGGGATTTCTTAAATATTCCACCAGGAAAACGATGGAGTTTGCCGATAGCGCTCCATCATATGGCAAAATCCTTGGGTTGCAAATATGAAACATTAATGATTTTGCCAAAGTTTGAACTCTTAGCTAAAGCAGCGAAAAATGTATAGAAACTGTACTGGAGAGGATGAAAATTTGAAAGTGGTGTCCTTGAAAACTTTCCAAAAGTCGAATTTTCAAACATCTAATAGCAGCTTCCTGTGTTGCCAACCGTTCTTTATACCGCTGACAAGTCAAAGGGAAGTCAAATCGGTTTTCTAATTGACCATTTCTTTAACTGAAAACTTAAATTTTTGTATTACATTCATTTTCGATGATAAAATTTTAATAAATAGAAATGTTAAGGAAAAATAAAACTATTTAATTTTATTACCATATAAATTTTTTTAATTAGTAATTAATTTGTTGTATAACAGAAACGAACGAATTTGGTATTCAAAGTGATTAATTAAATTAAAAAATAGTATTAATTATTTAAAAATAATTAACGATCAATTGACAATCAATATATTCGAATACCGTTTCCGAGTCTCGTTTACAGTAAAAAAATATTCAAATTAACAAAAGTTGCAACTGCAATTATTCGAACGTAAATTGACTAAAATTGCATAACAAAGCTTCGGTTGAGATTTAAATCGAATAACTAATTGAAAATCTCGCACATAATGAAACACGTTAATCATCTGCATAAATAGACAAAAATCAGCGGCAGACGCCACTTGATGCGGAAAAAAGACTAGATCCATAAGTACAACAGACATACGTATTAGCATACACTTCCAAGCACATACATACCGAGCTATATGTGCAAGGATTGCTAACTGCAATTGGCACAACTAACAAGTGGCCAACTGTTGCAATACCATTTACATCCATGTAGTAATCGGCGAGTGTGTGTTTGCGTGCTGACGCTCATTCACCGATTATGCGATTTAAATCAATTTTTCAAATCATTTTGGCATCACAAGCAACAAGCAACAACCAACAACCAACTAAACAGCTATTGCTACGCATTTCTTTATTATTCAATCGTTTTGCTCGCACACATGTTGCACACACGTCATTTGCATCTGCAACAGCAAAAACAACCGTCACAAGAACAACATTGCGGAAAGCAGGAGTGATTGCTTAAGCTTATAAAAGATAAATAAATAGATAAATGTATGCGTGTGTGTGTGTGCATGTGCGCAGTTGTAGGCCATAAACTGCCTATTTGAACGGCATTTGATCAGGAATTGCATCTGCAACGTTTCCACCATCACCAACACCATCGCCACCGCCCGTCACTCCAACGCCGCGTTAGCCATCCCTCACAACACAACAACACGATGGCTTATGTAATCTGGAAAATATTTATGAAGCAATATTCGCATTTTCGTTTTGATTTGGCTACAGCAGCACCGAGCTCAGCCGCTTTGCTCATAAGTCGTCCGCTAACCGCCCCCTTCCACCTGCAACAGCTGGCGATTATGTCGGTGAGTAGCGAATGTGATTGTCGTACATTCAAAAATCTACAAAAAAAAAAAAAAAAAATTATATTTTTTACACAAAACCACTCGTTTGCTGTTATTTATACATATATTTCCTTGCTATTATTATTTTTTTTTTTTTGTGCGAAAGAAAAATATTTTTTTTTTTTTTTGTTGAATTTTATGCGATATTAATGAAATCAATCGCTTGTCTACTTGCCTTACAACGGTGAACAATTTGAAAAGTGATACAGACAGACAGACGTCTCATACAGGGTGTAGTGATGAATTATTTCTTCCAATCTTGCTACAAACTTAGCCAACACAAGCAGAGTTCACACTAATATAGTAGACAGGTGGACAGGTGGAGGCTTGTAGAGCTCATGCTGAAGCAGACACTAATAAAAACTATCTGAAAATTTCTTAGACGAGTAATCAGCGTTGAATTTAGACTACATTAATGATATGATTTGAACTGATCGCTCTTCATTGGGGCTCAGATGAAGCTATAGCAAATTTTATGATAAATAATCTGATTTTAGTTACCTTTTCTGACACCCTGTTTCATATATCAAATACATTTTTGTGTTCCTCTAAATTTTTCGTTTATATTGCATTTCGTTGCTATCTCTCTTAGTGATTTTTCTTTGGAATGTTTTTCCTCTTTACTTATGAGATCTTTTCGTCTACTGAAACCAATAATTGAATAACAATAATATTGAATTAAATTTAAAAAAATTAAACAAATAATTCAAAGAAATATAAAATAAGATTAAAATAAAAATTGCAAATAAAATGCATAAATTACATAGAAAAATTTAACAGAATCAACTTAAATTAAACCAAAAAAAAAATTACCAAATAAAATTTGAATATATTTTAAAATTTAAACAAAAAAATAACAAAGTTATATTATGTAAAATAAAAATAAAAAACATAAATATAAATCAAAAACTATGATTTAAATTTAATTATTTAATTAAAAAAATTTAAACTAAGTTTAAATAATTTAGTTAATTTGTTTTTAATTTTATATTAATATATTGTACATTTGTTTATATTATTTTATATAATTTATTTTAAATACATATTTTTTATTTATGTAAATGTTATTTATTTTTATTTAACATAATATAAGTTTTTTGTTTATTGTTTCAATTTTAAAATTTAATAATAAACCAAATAAAATTAAAATACATTAAAAAGCGGGACAAAATTTGATAATATTAAATAAATTTAAAAAAATAAATGAAAGAAAATAATACATAATATATGAAAAATAGCAACAAATTATATTTAATAAACTAAAATAAATAGACATAAAAAATTATATTAATTTAAAAAAATATTTTTATAATCAAATATAATAAAAGAAAATAAAATAAATTAGACTGAAATAAGAAAGAGAAAATAAAACAAAATGAAATATAAAAAAAAAAAAACTAAAAAAATAAAATACAATAAAATATGAAATAATGAGACAAATACAAAATACACATAGTAAATGAAAAATAACAATAAATTATTTTTAATAAAATAAAAAAAAATATATTAAATTAAAAAAATAAATTTATAGTCAAATACAATTAAAGAAAAAAATAAATAAGAATGGAATAAGAGAAAAAAAAACAAAATAAAATAAAATGAAATAAAATAAAACAAACTAAAAAAATAAAATAATATAATATAAAATATAATGAAATAAAAAAATAAATAAATTAAAATAAAATTAAAAACGAACAAAAAATGTAAGCAACTCATGTATTTAACACTACGAAATCCAGCGCTTTATAAACTGCTCCACTATGAATCAGATGTATACTAGTTGTATACTAGTGATTTCGATACATTGAATTTCTACTTAAAAACAAATAATAGTGAAAAATATAAAATTGAAAAACAAGAAGACAGAGGATGGACTCAACCGCATGCTGCTAGAAGCAACAACAACACACTGTGTTAGGAACTATACTTAACCCCGTTACTAGTAAACTACAATACAATTAAGCAACTAGTATGATTTCATCTTCAAAATACTAGCATTTAACTAGAATTTTTGCATACTAACCTGCCTTCTGAATGATGGGTATGTACATATGTATGTATAACAATGATTCGTTTATCTCATGCTATTTAAGTATCAGATATACACTCACTAACTTTTGTATTGTTCTATTTTGCAACAACAGCAGCGACATGCGCTCAAATGCTGTAATAAACGTTGATTACTATTAAAAAGCGCTTCTGAAAACAATTAGTGACTTCCCTGATTCTGTGAGCTTTGAACTTACATAACGTACAAATGAATTAAAGACTCGCTAAAAACTTGCATTTACGCCCGCTCAATCGTCAGCGCTGAATCATGTAATGTACATGAGCACTAAAGATGTTCACACAGGGAGAGACAATAAAATATCGCCGAACAACAAAAATAAATTTTTTTTTAAATATAAATAGCATATTTTTCATTACAATGTCGAATATTATTTTCATTTGTTAATTAATTTATTCTATTATTGTCTTTTGTACAATATTTGTAATGACTGAATAAAAGTAACCTGTGGTAATTTTTCTTTATTTTAAAAATTATCACTCGTCTGAGACTCCCCAAAATAGTTAAAAAAAAAACTTCGCAGAAAATAATGAATTGCGTGTTTATGAAATAATACTTACGTACCTAAAATTTTATTTTTTTTAGCACCAAAATTTATTGTTTGTGTATTTACGACTGAACATTTGTATGATTACCTGTAACAGTTGTGGTAACAATTTTATTTGATCATTAAAAAATTACAAAGTAAATTGAGCAAATTTACTACGCGCTAAGACATCTGAATACTTTTTCCATTTTGCTCTTGGTCTCCTCGCTTGAAATTGAAACTATTAGTGCTCCGAGTGCAGCGAGCAAGTAAAACCAGCAAATATTAATTGTCGAAGCGATCGAACGTAATTGAGGATTGCGTCTCATAAAACATTTCACCACTAAACTAAGCACCGCCAGCACTATCAGTAAGCTGGCAAATAATCGACAACGTAATTCACATATGTATAATATTTTAGTAACTGTTGGGATACGGGATCCCGATTGATTGAAAATTAACAAATAATTTTACGGCAAAAATTAAATAAAATAAATTAAAACAAAATAAAATAAAATAAAATAAAATAAAATAAAATAAAATAAAATAAAATAAAATAAAATAAAATAAAATAAAATAAAATAAAATAAAACTAATTTAAATTTAATGAAATTAAATAAAATAAAATAAAATAAAATAAAATAAAATAAAATTAAATTAAATCAAAAGACATAAATATAATAACATAAATTAAAATTAAATCAAAGAAATCAAAATAAATTAAAAAATTTAAACAAATTAACAAATAATTAAATTTTATTAATATAAAATAAAATAAATTAAATAAAACAAACTCAAATAACATAAAATTATATAAATTGAAATAAAAACAAATAAAATATATTAATATAAAAAAATATAATATCATAATAAACTGACACGTTAAATAATGTAAAAGTAAATTTAATAATAAATAGTCAAATAAAATTTTATTTGATTAATTTAAAAAATTTTGAATAAAATAAAAATATTAGATAAATATATATAAAATTAAAGTAAATTATAATAAATTATTGAAATTTATACAACAGAAACCGTAAAGCTAAAGCAAAATTAAATTAAATTAAAAACAAAATAAAATAATTTATGTAAATTAGAAAATTTAAAATAAAACTGTATAAAATAATATGAATAAAATAAATATAACAAAATAGTATAAAATAAACTTAAATTCACATTTATATAAACAATTAAATAAATAAAAATAACAAACTTAAATAACATAAAAACAATAAAATAAATTGAAATGAAATAAAAAAATAAAGTAAAATAATAGAAATTTATAAAAAAATATAATAAACAACTGAAGTAGAGTAAAATATTGGAAAAATAAATTTAATAATATAAAACTAATAATATAAAACGTAATTAAATTTAGTTAAAAAAAATTAAATATTATAAGACTAGATTGAATAAAATTTAATTTAATTAAAATGAAAAAACTGAATAAAATAAAATATAAAATATATTAATATAAAATTAAAAAATATATTAAATTAAATGAAATTAATATAGAACAGATAAGTAAAGTAAAATAAAGTAGTAAAATAATATAATATAAAATAAAATTAAGTTATATTATACTGAATTAAATTAAACTAATTTAAATTATATTTAATGAAATAAAATTAAATACAATAAAGTAAATTAAAATTAATAAAATGAAATAAAACAAATTTGAAATAAATATAATGAAATATAAATAAATAAAGAATTTAAATTAAATAAAGTAAAGTAAAATAACAGCACAAAACTTTTATTAGAAACAACGTTAAGCAATTTTTTTTTAATTTTATATAAATTAAATACGAGTGATCCCGAAAATAATCGTTGATTATATATACTCCTTTAAAAATATTGTATTTCAAGCCTGCATCATATACATACGAAACATCATATGTGGCACTATCACAAGCTGCTCGAACATATGTATGTACATGGGCAACATATGTTGGTACGTATTGTGTTATGTGGCACGTACAAATAAGTATTCATATTACAATATTGCCGCTGCGATAATAACAATCACGAAAAGTAAAAGATGCTATATTTCATGGGCAAGTGTTAAATTGTCGAAATTAATTGCATGCTGCGGTAGCTGGCGGCTGGCGGCTGGTAACTGGTATCTTACCACTTGTAAGCGATCGTTTGAAGACTAGAGCACCGCGCAGTTGCAGCTATAATGAATAGAAGCTAGCAGCAACGGCATTTACCGGTACTCATAACTTACTGTGCATTGCGGCATAAGTTGCGATCAAGTAAATGGAATGCTTGCTATGTTGCATATGGCATGTGACAGTGTTGGCGCAGGTGCTGGCGTATGAAAGCGAAATGCAAAGCATTTCAAATGTGCAACACTTAAATAAC